TTAGTACTGAGTGTGCAGTTTACTGCTGTAATAAAATACGAGATTATAAATACAATTTGGTAGGTAACCTTTGTTTTGTAATGAAATAAATACATCCACGGTTGGAAAACTGTTAAAAGGGGGCTGTTTAAAGAGTCTCCACATAAATTGCGACGTCTCTATAGATTGTGTGTTCATTAGTTCTGTTAAATAAAGGTGGGCAACTGATTGAAGAATGGATGTGAAATAAAAGCTTTTTTCACAATCAGCAACTACTTATGTACGTAAAGAAAAATAAATTTGAAAAAAAAGCGTTGGGTGCCTGTTGTCAATAGTAAAAAGCATCCCACGCTTTTTTCAAATTTATTTTCTATTTTTTAGTTTGGTTTTCTATAGAAAGCGTGTTTTAAGTTTTTTTAAACTATTTTTTTTTTTTAATTAGTGTATTGTCATCGGTCATCGATATATCTACAAAGTTTGAACGAATTCTGACCGTTTAAAGTCAGTCAAAATTACGCCCAAAGGAGTCAGTTACAAACATACAAACAAACATACAAGTGAAGCTAATATAAAGCGTGTAATAAACACATTTCTGCCACTACATAAGCTACACAGACCGTTAAAAATCTTCACTAATGATGTTACTAGTTACCACACGAACTCTTTATTGACAAAAAAATCTCTTTCCCTTCTATAATAAAAAAGCTGACATAGCTTAAACCGCTTCGTTCAATCCCACTTTCGATAAGTGTTGTTCGGACAAGTTCGAAGTTCGGACTTCGCTTTTTCGTTTATCTGAAAATGTCCGGTTGCCGGATGGAGTTTGTATTTTACAGAACTGGATAAATCTTGAACTTAAAGTTTACGGGCCCGTTCATTGAGTAGATCCTTACATAATTTTTAGGGAATTAACGTGCTCACGTTAGGTATTAAATAAATAAATAAATAAAATACTTTTATTTCAGGTGTCAATCACAACCCATATTATGTCGCTACTTAGTACACATATATTCGTAATATAATTATTGACATCATTACCATACTAATAAATTAAATCACATTACAGTTTACAAAATTAAAATTAGATCATTACTGACATTTCCATCATTATAACACACACATAAAATAAACAGAAGAGAAAATATATTACATTCATTTTTTATATTACTTACTGTTATTCAGTTTAGTCTTAATATTATTCTTTAATTAATGCCCTAAATTTACTGTACAATTTGAAATTTAATTTAAAGCGTATCATCATCAGCCTATCGCAGTCCACTGCTGGACATAGGCCTCTCCCATTGCACGCCACTTAGATCGATTTTAAAGCGTTTAATAATATAATAATATATTCTACCACATCCACACAACGCCATCTAGTCCCAAACTAAGCAGAGCTTGTACTATAGGTACTAGACAACTGATATAAATACATATATACTTTTTTTTGTAAATACATACATATTATACATAGAAACACCCAGACCAAATCAAACATCAAATGTTCATGCACACAAATGTTTGACCTGAGCGGGAATCGAACCCGCGACCTTCGGAATAGCAGTCCGTTACACAAACCACTACACCATCCAGTCGTCAAAATAATGTTAATAATGTTTAATTAAATTTAAAGTGCAGAAAACATTACTATTTTAAGTGCCTGTTACAACAATGTCGCATATAAGGGCAATTTAGTCTGTCTTTATTTAGTTCACACCTTTAAATTACCTGACGTTTCGACCAGGTTGCACCGGCCGTGGTCATAGGCCTGCGGACCAGCCTGTTGCTGCAGCCAGTGCCTAATACCTAGTATGAGCGCGTTAATTTCCGAAAACATAGTTATATATTCCTTACATAAGTTTTCTTTCATCGTATCTGTCGAATATTTGATTAAGTTTCTGATCATATTATCTTATAGTTAACTAAGACATATAGCAAATCCAAATAAATCCACTATGCTCTTCTTCAAACTATCATCAGTTACGGTAGAGTATTTTAATGATGTGAAAATCAGAATCTTATCAGTATTCAAATCGAGGACAGCTAAAGAAGTAAAACACTTTGCGTAATTATATCCAGTTATTGAAGATTTCAAACATTTCAACATTTCAATCCGTGTGGTGACGGATTAAAAATACGGAATGGCACCACCCCTATTCATCCCGTGTGTGTCGTAAGAGCCGACTAAGGGAACAAACTACGTTAGACAACAGCACTGCAAAGGGAAGGAAAACTTGAAACAAACCCTATACTAATTTGTCCACTGTTGGATATAAGGCTCTCCTTAGAAAGGAGTTCTAAGGAGAGGCTTATATCCAACAGTGGACAAATTGAGGCTGTTGATGATGATGAAACATTTCAAAGAAGATGTAACAATTAACTACAACAGGGTGGTTTGTACTATTTATTTATTTATTTTATTTACTATTTGCACTGTTGCGATCTCGAGAGAATAGATTAAGGGTTTAGAGTAGGGCAGTTATGGTGTACGCACAGTAAATATTGTACAGAATAAAATATCCCACATAAATGTGTAAGAATATTACTATATTATATATTTACAATTATGGATTGAAAATATGAGTTATGATGTCTCCCAGATAATATTATTTCACTACTTTTAAAAGCAGATAGTTATATACGAATCTTAAACCAAGACATATATTATGTAGGTGCGAATCGGATGTGTTAATGAGACATGAGGCTTAATTAAAAGCCAAGTATTTTTTTTATAACTTTAAAAAAAAAAAACAACAATATCCTGTGTCGCGGTGGACTTTACAAACATACATGAAACGGACACAAAGAACACCCAGACTCAGAACAACAATTTGTAGATCACACAAGGTGTCGTCCCATGTGGGGATCGGACCCGCAACACTCAGCATAGTAGTAAGCGGCGTGGGGCAATACCAAACCAAAAATAGCGGCGTGGGGACCGCTTAAACCACTACGCCATCCGTGCAGTCAAAGTATTTAATCTAAATGTGCTTGTAAATAACGTAAACAATAGATTTATAAACGAACTGCTCCGTCTCAAACAAATATCTTAAATTAAATTCAAAAGATAAGCCCGCGATAATGTTCCGCGACATCTATTATTGTTGGAACATGTCCGGAACAAGTTGCTGAAAACGCGCGACGCTTCTTAATTTCCTCTCTTTTGTGTTTTATCACACGTAAGATCTGTTGTGGTGTTCCTTATGTTATGTTATGTCCGTGTTCCTCCTGCGGCATGTGTTCCGGTCTGTAAGGTTCATTAGCAGACTCAGCGTTGAGAAAGATTTAATCTTATTATTCTGCAGAGAGCTTAAACTTTGTAGAATACTTTTCGATTGAATTCATTCCCACGAATTGAAAGTATGGTAGATTACCCATGATCATTTACCCTTTTTTTTTCCGTGCGGAAATCCCCTCGGATACCACCTATCGGTGGCATGTCGGACTCGAGCCGACTAAAACCGCACGTCGTCTCGGGTACTAATAGCCGAGGAACCAGGTATACCCTAGAAAGGAAGTCCCTGGTGCCCCGACATACCTCGGGCCATCCAAAGACGAGTAGACGACCCCCCCCCCAAGTGGTAACCCCATGTTCCCTCTGCTCTCTGGAAGCGAGCGCGCTTCGCAACGCGCTCGCCGTCACCCCGGCCTGCTTCTGCTAGGGTGACAGATGGCCTCACCTGTCACTCTCAGGCCTGCGCTTATGGAGAACGGAGGTCGTTCTGCGACCTCCGGCGCCTGAGTCGCTTGCGGTACCTAGCCCGTTCTCGGGCCTGGCGGGCCGGGAGAGTTCTAAACCTCTCCCGGTCCCGATCCGCCGTCCCCTTCGCGAACATAACTTGCTCGTAGAAGGAGACGGCAGAGTTCCGCGCACTCTCGCTCCGCACGATAGCCGCAATCAGGCTATCGAGCGAGAGAACTCCCACTCCGCTGGCCGCCACGAGGTCTCGCCTCTGCTCAACCCACGCCGGGCACTCTGCCAGCGTGTGGAGAGCCGTGTCCATGGTCTGGCCATCGCAGTGGTGGCACTCAGGCGTTGGCTCCTTGCGGATCAGACACAGGTGATCCTCGAAACATCCTTTCCCAGTGATCACCTGCGTCAGTCGATATGAGAGGGTCCCGTGACGCCTCTTGAGCCAATCCTCCATAACGGGTCTTACCGCCGCGATGACGGCGTGCCCGAATGATCATTTACCCTGGTTTGGTTTGAGGAATGTAAGCAATGAGTGAAAGGCATGATTTCAGCTCTCAAGGCATTTTAAACGTTTTGTTTTTTTTTATTTGTCTTAACCTCGTTTTCGGTAAAGTCATTTCTTGACATTCGCTTGTAATTTTTTATCTATGAGTTAGCCTACAGGATACGTTCCTGGACGTAGCCCTTCGCCCAATATGCACTACAGCATCCGTTTGGCCGTCTTCAGCATTCAGGCTTTCCAGTAATCTCGTCAGGTGAGTTCATCCGGCTGGGAGGTGTCGTACTTTTTGCTTTCCGATTCACGGCCTCCACTCTAAGTAAGCTTCTAAAGTTTTTAAAGTACTATTTTAATAAATTTCTTTCTTAGTCATAGGTGGTCATATCATATATTGTTAAAACTATAAAAGCCGAACAAGTTGAAATACCCTTAAGTTCAACACCCTTAGCACCTGTCTGGTCCATCTTTTATTCTTAAAAGATCCCTATCTCTAGAAGATTTAATCTTTTTAATTCATTATTTATTATGAGTTACAAGACATCGTTTTCATTATTAAAGTAAGCCTTCAACAGACCATAAATCAATTAAGTTTAAAAGTGATACGCTTCGCAGAAAATGATCTAGTTTCGGGTCTTATTTAAACGGAGTTAATTGACAGTTGTGGAACGGTTTTAAGTTCGAGTCAGCCCGTGACTCACTGGAGCAATCTGACGCAGTATGACATAAACATTTAAACGGATTTTCTGTAACATTTATTGAAACTTTTATTGAACTTTTACTTTATTGCGAGGATTACATTACCAGACTCCGAGTTGCTACTGAGCATTGTTAAGCAAAATTTGGGAACCCCTGAGACCGTACCGATAAAACGGTAACTTGGAAGCAGTGCTTCAAATCTACCGTTTCAATCGGTTCGGTCTCAGAAGGAAAACCGTTGAAAGTCTCACCAGCATGGTCTAGGTGAGGTGGGTTTCTCAGCTTTTCTAAATAAAGGTAACATTAAATTTAAATAATTTGATAAAAGCTAGATATGACGTCATGTCATAGTATTTCATACAAAAATGTAGCTCGTCTATCGTTTTGACGTTTAAAGAAAAAGATACTAATACTACATGATATGCACAACCTTAACAGTCCAGTTCAAAACATAGATAATAATAAGCATTAGTTATACACAAACTCACAACTATATCAATGAACTAGTTATTAAAATCGAACTAAAATTCATGCCGCCGTATATTTAAACGATAGGTAATAAAATATCCCGCCAGATTTTCTTTTGAATATTTATGAAGCTGCCGAGCTCCCGGCAGTATTGCTACCGCAAATATTGGTCTTGCTTACCTCGTGGTAATAATTCTAGTTGTTTTCGTTGCTTTTTTTCCGCTTAAACACCGCTGTTTAATTCTTTATGTTTGCAATGTGCGTTATTGTGTTGACTAAAAGATTTTCCGCTGCCGAATTCAAATTTCATTGAGGCATCAGGACTCCCTGATTAAAATTGTCCATAGTTATGAGTGTATTGAATTTAGTTTTTTTTACAAGCTTAAGATTATGCAAAGGAAGCTCTGCAGTCGAATCTAAAAGTCTGTAAGAGTGATCTTATAAAGTAGTTTGTTTGTGACTACAACTGGTGTAATTTGATCTGAACTTTACGTAATAAAAATGTTTCGCATGTCAAACGGCAATCACTGTGGCTAGACTGGGTAATGAATTATTTCTGCCTGCCATAACGGCCAGCCGCGAGGAGGCGACGTCCGCGTGTGCCGGACGTCGCCTAAATAGAGAATGTACCTGAAGGTGGTGCCCGCATCGTTGCGGGCAGGCGCTAGGTCCGGAGGTCCTAATAACAGCAGTTCCCGGATCCCTCCTATTACAGGCGCAGAGTGGCACACCGTGTGGTTTTAGTCGGTCCGATTCCGACACACCACCCCGCCGTAAACCCCGGTGGGGTGACGGCCCGAGGGGGTTTCCACACGTTAAAAAAAAAAGGGTAATGAATTATTTCTAAGAGATTCTAGATGTGAGAGAAATCTCATTAACCGTACTATTTAGAGATGTAGGCATATAATCTAAGACACAGCGAGATGTAGGTCGTTTTGACTTTTTCTCTTTTAACTATCGTCCTACCTATTTAATACAACTTTGGTAGCAAAATTAAAATGTATAAAATTCAACATTGCTTTATGACGTTTATATTAAATAAGTGCGATAAACTTGTCCAATTATATTTGTTAAGGGCGTATAAAAAAGCTTGTTTATAAAAACATAATTTAATTAAAACTTATCAACGTGAGTCGAATAACAATTAATGGAAAACATTCGCCCCTCCCTTCGCCCCCTCGAATTGACAATTATTTTGTTGAGCAATTGTAATTCATCAAAATTGTGGAAAGTTATCTCGAGTTTGACAAAGTCCTCGGAGGCTTTTTCATCTTCAATATCTTAATACATTAGGAGAATTCTTTGTACGCATTTTTAAGTAACAGACAGCAAAGACAGGGAATTTTTGAAATATTTAAGTTTATGTAGAATAAGTAGTGTAGAAAGTTTAAAATTTTAAACAATATGTATTATTAAGTTATGAATTAAGCTGACTCGTCATATGTTAGGTAAGGTGGCCAACGATATGTGATGCCATGTGATAAGCGCGTGGGGCTTATAAGCTTCGTGAAGTAGTGGTTTAAGCGATCACCACGCCAACTACGCTGTGTGTTGTGGATTCGATCCCTACATGTGTGACACTTTGTGTAATCCAGAAATTATCGTTCTAAGTTCTTTGTGTCCGTTTCGTGTATCTCTGTAAAGTCCCCCGCGACATAAAATATATACCTGGTGTAGAAGTTGTCTTTAAAAAATTATATTGATGAGTATGCTGTTCTAGTTGTTAGCGATCCTGACTCTAAGCCACGGGTCGTGGGTTCGATTCCCACCAAGGACAAATAATTGTATGATGAGCACGATCATTTGTTCTGTGTCTGGGTGTAATTTATCTACAATATGTAGGTATTTAGAAATATTTAAGTATGTTTATCAGCAGTCTGGTTTCTATAGTACAAGCTCTCCCTATTTCGAGATCTCACGGCCGTGTCTGAGATGTGTGCGGTTTTTATTACTATTGTTATATATCAAAATCTAAAGTATTAAAACACATAATATTAACACTCCTCTTATTCAACACCTGTAACGAAGCTTTGGGATAGTAAAAAAAACCCGAAAATCGTGTGTATGTCACACAAATTTCAGGAGTTTTCTTGGTTAATGGATGGCCTATTGTCTATTAATTTTTAATATTAGATATTAAAATAGCTAGACTATAATGTCTAATTGCTATCTTAAAAGTCCATAGATATAATTAAATTTAGCTGCAATGCAACACAGCGTGTGGTAATGTCTTTCCGTTGTCGGCATGCGGTCGTTGTCATCTTTTAAAGCGACGAAGTTTGAATAATAAAAGATAATCGTGTGCTTTGTTTAAAGTATAAAGTTATGTGGATAAAAGTGCAGTAGAATAGGAAGAAAAAGTTAAACACATGTCTTTTTTTCTATATTTATTCAATAATTTACTTTAGATTGAAATGAATGTGTTGGTATTTTAAGAATAAAATAAAGCTGACTGTTTGTTTAAACACGCTACCTTTAAAACTGCAGTGATCGTAATCGCGTGACGTCATGAAAAAATCTTGAAACAAGATATCAAGATTATTAAACCTGTTGGATACGAAAAAGGAAAAAGAGTGCCAAAGAATATAACTTGTAGAAATACTTGCTACGCCCGTAGTACGTCTACGACTAGCCTACGACGTAGATTTCGAAGACATCTGTAGCACACCTACTACGAATGTCTAGATTGTTTGCATATGGCGTGGTTAGTCTGAAGCCGCGGTGACATCAAACATCAACGATCTTAGTTGTTACAAATTTGGGAAGGTTCCCTGAAAACAATTCGTGTAGCCACTGAGGTGGCGAAGTATTTATTTATTTATTTATTTATTTATTAGGGTTAACAACAGTCCTTAAAAATAAATATTACAGTTTAAATTTCTACAATCAGGTGAAACCAATTAATGTTAACCACGTATGCAATTTTGATTTTAATAAAAATTGCCCAGACTTTGTCACAGCAAAAATGTAAAAAAATAAATTTGAAGCCAAAACATAAAATATTAAAACTAATAAATTAAATTACAACTAAAAGAACAGTGAGATAATATTCTAGGCAAGCAGTGTGCTGAACAGAGTGTGTGTGTGTGGTGCGTGTATGTGTGTGTGTTGTGCGTGTATGTGTGTGTGTGTGTGTTGTGCGTGTACATATGTGTGTGTGTGTATGTGCGCTACAATATACTACATAGCATTACATAGCCCTCAGAATAACCAAAAAAGCGAAACAACATCCCACCCAACGAGATCCACATTTAACCTAATCACACTTTAGCTTGAGTGCCCGCTAGCGTATTCGTTATCAGCGTCTTAAACCTACTTTTACTGTTCGAGAATAAATCTATGTCTTTAAATTCGGTGTTATAGGTTATTATAATTCTGGAGAGAACAGAGTTCTTGGCATAATTTGTAGAACGTAAGGGCGCAACCAAGAGCCTGGTATGTCTTGTTCGTGTTCGAGGTACACTAAAGTAGATATTTGCTAACAATGCAGGACAATCAAGTCGATTTCGTACAATATCGTACAGAAAACATACATCTAGCATTCGCCGGCGCTCTTCCAACGTCAAAATCTTATGTCCGCGACAACTGTCCACGTAAGAGGAGTAGCGTTGCTGAGTTTTGAAGTTAAGATGCATAATGAATTTTTTTTGTATTGATTCTATGCGATTAGTATATATACTATAACAAGGATTCCATATGGGACACGCATATTCTATTATGCTACGTACATATGCAAAGTAAACAACTTTAAGACTTAGTGAGCACTGAAATGGTTTGCATGTTCTTAATACAAACCCTAAGTTACGGTAAGCCCTTTGTACTACCTTTTCCACATGGTAAGATAAAAGCATCTGGGAATCGAAGAATACCCCAAGATCGCGCACTAGGTTGACCCTCTCTATTACAATGTTGTTAAAATTGTATGGAAAGTTAATTGGTTGCCTTTTGCGAGTAAAACTGACAGTTCGACATTTACTAATACTAATAGAGATTCTGTTACGTGAATAATATTCTTGAAGTGCATTTAAATCCTGCTGGAGTCTTACGCAGTCATCAACCTTGTGTATGGGTGCATAGATTTTTTTATCGTCCGCGTACATTATGTGTTTGGCGAATTTAAAACAGTCAGAGATGTCATAAATATATGCATTATAAAAGAGGGGGCCAAGATGCGAGCGCTGAGGCACACCAGAAGGGATTGAGATGTAATCTGACCTATAACCACTCATCACGACAGCCTGCGAGCGATTCAGTAGATATGATCGGACCCACCGTAATAAGTCCCCATGTATACCTAGTTCCTGTAATTTTCGAAGCAATATGTCATGATCTACGCGATCAAAAGCCTTTTCAAAATCAGTGTAGATGGTGTAAAAGGTGGAGGAGGAGGAGGAAGGTGTAAAAATCTTACTAATCGTATTTAATATAGAGATTGGTCGGTAATTTTCAATAGATGAGCGTGACCCCTTTTTATGTATGGGGATAATTTGAGCGTTTTTCCATATTGATGGAAAAATACACTCGTTCAGGGATCTACGAAAAAGGTAAGATAGTGGCAAAGCTAAGGATTTTGCACATGAAGATAAGAAAATCGGTGGAACACCATCGGAGCCTACGCCTTTGTTTTTATCTAATGAGGATAACAATTTATATACTAAATCTTCATTTACTTCTATATGTGATAATATATCATGGTTTTGATATATAATAGTAGATAAATCTGGGGTATTATTAGTAACGTTCATTGGACTTATAAAGACACTCTCAAAAAATTTATTGAACGCAGAACTAATTAAGTGCCCCTCAGTGTATTCTATATTGTTTAGTTTGAACTTCTTAGGATAGCTAGAGCAACCCTTTTTAGATTTTACATAGGTCCAAAAGTATTTTGGGTTACGCCGGATTATGTTTTGGCTATTTATTATAAATTGGTTAAAGCAAGTTTTTTGCACAAGTTGTACCCTAGAACGCAAGAGATGGAATTCATCATAATCGCGCGGGTTGCCCCTTTTTATCCATTTTTGATGCATTTTGTGTTTTTCCTTAATTATTCTTATTAATGCTGTGCTGTACCATATAGGATAATAGCATTTGGATTTTGGGTTATAAATTGGGACATACAACGTAAAGCAATCACTTAATGTTGAATAAAAAATATCGACAGCTTCATCAATTGTACCGACATCAAGTTTTTTTAGCCAGTCGATATTTGTAAGATATTCATTTATTTTTATGTAGTCACATTTATAAAAATTAAAACGCGGGTCATGACGTTCTTTGAGAGGTACAAGTTGAAGATCCAACAATTTAACGTAAAAAGGTGGGTGGGCGTCATCAACCCTGACAATAGGCTGCAAGCATTCGCTAATTGATAAAGGCAAGTTGCAAAAACTTAAATCTAACGTGTTCCCCCATTTATTAGTTAAACAATTGTATTGTACTAATCCATAAAAGCTAAACTCATTCATTAATGAGGTGGCTGCATCAAGTGTTTGAGAAGAACTACTCCGATCATAATAATAATTGTCATTACACCACCTAACAAAAGGTAGGTTAAAATCACCAATTACCAAATAATTGTCACATGGATACTTAGCCATTAATTGTGATACATTACTTTGAAAACATAACACGCGATTAGGTAAGTCCAAGTCTGGCGGAATATAAGTTAAAATTATGTGCAAGTCAACCGACGAACCCAGCGAGCGCGCTGGTATAGTTATACAAATAGATTCGACGTTAGAAGCCGGCCATTCATTACATAAATAAGCATCTACTTCACGCTTGATAAGAATTAGCAGGCCGCCGCCGGATTTTTTATTAGTTGCAGTCAAATCCCGATCCGATCGGTAGACCTCATACCTACCATCACAAAACTCGCTGTCCAAAATATCATCTTGTAGCCAAGTTTCCGTTAACATTATTATATCATAGTCATTACTCAAAATGTTATTATAAAGGACTAGGCACTTGGTCCGTAAGCCGCGTACGTTCTGATAATATATTTTATTATTTGTTGCCATTTTTTTTTTAGTTAGTCATTAAATATCCTATTACATTCGGTTAAAATATTAAATATATATACATAGATGCACTCAAATACATACATATTATACATACATACATATATTACATAGGTACATAAACACAATACCAAATACCGACATTTATCACTATTCATAATAATATTAAATATGAATGCCATGTCTATACAACTAAGTATATGAAAGCGTAAATAGGTACAATAAAAGTTAACAGAAAAAAAAAACATTATTGCAGTGGTTAAATTTAAAGTCTTAAGTATTATTAAGTGATAATGTGGGTTACGGACTGAGTGAGTTATAACAACATAATATTGCAGGTAAGTGTTTACGGCCGAGCGGGCTGCGAATGTGTTTGCGGTCATGAGAATTATTATTAGGTAAAAAGTAGTCAAGCGCACATATAGATATCGAGTGGGTATGGTGTATGAATCATTAGAAAACACTTGGTGACGATATGCGGTTATACTGTATTCGAAGAAATGCATGATTACGGATTGATATATAACTTTATGTAGTATAATGTAATAGTAAGTAATGTAAATATCTTTATTGTGGAGGTGTAATGTGTGGTATGTGAATGTGTTGACTGTATAATGAAAAATGGAGCAGAAATCACATGATATTGATATGCAGTTCAGCTTATAATAGTGAGAAACCAGGACACAAATTAATAATAGTAGTCACTTAATTTTCGCTAGGTCGTCATGGTTGTTGATAGTGAATGACGGTGACGTGTTATTTTTTCGTACATGTATTTTGCAATTTCGTATCCATACATATTCGTAATTAGCGGCACGCTTGGCTTCTTTTGTTTTTCTAAGCAGGTCCTTATAAAATGATGTTAAATGTTCATTTATATAAATAGCCGATTCTTCGCCGTCGAAACAAATTTCACTAGTTGTTAATGATTTCTTTTTGCGCATCGCCGAGATTAGGCTATCTTTTGTGATAAGAGATTTGAATTTCACAATAATACTTTTGACTCTGCCTGTAACACGCGTTGGAACTCGGTGAATGTGAACAATTTCATCGTCTGGTATCTGTGTCTTGAGTGATGTAGCAATAGTTTGTAAATATTGAGTCAAGTTTTCGTTATTTTTTTCTGGGATTCCTGTAATTTCCAAATTATTTACGCGCTCGCGCTGTTCCCGAATATTCTGTTCCATTTGGAGGGTAGTTAATTGTCGCTTAACAATAGTGAGCTCAGACTCCAAACTAGTTATTTTGTCGGTTTTCGTAGTAATTATATTCATACGGAACTTCAAATCATCTTGTTCTTTACTCTGGAAGTCCAGGGAATCGGTTAGAGATGACAGGTCTTTTCGAAACTGATTATGATCTCTAATAATATCATTATTTGCAACCTTTATCGATTCCAATTGGTTTTTGACATCCGTTACATCCGACCTCACCTGCTGAAATTCAGCTTTTTGTGAACTTTTGAATTCATACAGGAAACTCATCATGTCCTTACGTAGTTCGGCTATTGCTTCCTTGACCTCAACGTCGGCATCAGGTTGTTTACGTTTTCGAGTAAATACAAAGTTACCGATTACGGGTAGCTCACACTTTGATAAGTCTGGTTGAGAACTAGTAAGACTTGGTGCGCCGGCCGCTTTTGTAGGTGACCTTGTGACGCTCATTGTTAATCGCCGTGCGAATCTGACGATTAGCTAGCCGGTTTAGATATATTATGCTTAAAGACACTAGACACTATGCTCACTGCACTTAAGTTTATTATTAACTGAACACTGTTTATTGTAGATAACAGAAAAGTCATGAGAGTACTATGCACACGTCTGCTGCGGACAAACGATCCGAGATTATATGTATTACTAACTGTGTTATGTGATGATTAGTGTATTCTTTATTGAAGTTTTTTCTTTTATTCAACTTGAGTACGAGTACTTCAATGAGTTGAGTATTTAAACCAAATACGGTTTGGAAATATTTACATTCATTTATTGACTTTTTAAAAATATTATTAAAATTGTAGATGAATAGACGCAAATCCTCATCCAAACTATTTACTATGTCATTGTCTATGTAATAAAAGTAATGAGTAAAAGATAATACAGCGTCTACCTATGTCGATCTACAGCCACCACTTTTAAAAATGTCAAGATGCCAATTTAATTTAAGATTGCTCTTGTGAGAAGAAATCATTCAAACAAACTCAAAGTAAAAAAATATTATAAAATAATGTTACATAATAGGTTTTATTTAAAAACTCTACTAATTTATCGATAAAAAATATGAGTGCCTATTTAATTAATGCATCTGTTATCAATTTTATAATTTGATTACAAATATATTATTAACGGTTATTTTGAACGGCTAGAAATTAATGAGTGTAACAATTAATTTAAAAAAAAGTATGTCGATATGAAACATGTTATCGGCTGACATGTTGTCCGACACATGCCTAAAGTGGGCTAGTGTCAGAATAGTGGTTAGTTGACGTCGAGGCGCCGGGAGAGATGGCTGTCTGATGTCAGGTAATTTTATTTTATAAAATATTTTTCTTTTATGTAGTTTAATAGTGTATGAGTTTATTTAAATGTATTTAGCTGATTTTTTTATTTCATTTAAAGAAATATAACATATCTATATGTGTTTATAAATATTTATTCACATTCTTAGTGTTATTTAATTATATATATTTTTTTAATCTTATTAAATATTACATTCATCAATTAACGATCTAGCAATATAAACATCTAAGCAACATATGACAATAATATGAAGCAATAAATCAGTTTAAAATTGACTTTACAATATTATCAATTACAAAAACTACTAAAATTGATAACACTTTACGTTATTTACGAGATCTACTAAACGACCCTATAATGTGACCACATTTTTCACTAACATTGTATATAACAGTGAATTAAGAACCATAAACGCGATTATTATGATATGTGTCGCCTTCCCCTTCAATTGACAAATATTTATACAATGAACACAAAGAACATCTCAGCTCGATATAATAGAGTAGATGACTTTCAAGTCAAATCACCATCTTTTTATTAAACGTCAAAACGATAGACGCCGTACATTTTTGTATGAAATACTATTTCGTGACGTCACACCTGGCTATTGTCAAATCATATATCGCACCTTTAAAGACAAACCGTTACTAAACGAAATTTTTGGAGAATTGAGTTATTAATACCATCTTTCTTAAAACTACGTAAACTATACGATGAGTTTGACACTGTTCAAAAAAATCCAATTTTAGACATAGATGGTGTCGGTTTTGACCGTTACAAAACTAAATAAGATTTGCTTGTTAAATGCAATATCGTGTCTATACTAATTGTGAATTGTTCGTTAAAGAGTGATGACGGAAGTTTGACGGAAGTTTAGTGACAACTTGCTGTGGTTTAAAACTAGATACTGAATAAAGACTGATTATTAAGACATCCTAGCAATGCTAAAGATTTAAGTGCCATAATGTCAAAGAAATGTATGGATAAATGAGAATAAAACATTGATTAGAATGTGTTATTTTATTTATCTGTCCAGTTACAATTTGAGCGAATGCTAATTATAATATTTTCAATTTAGTAGTATTGTAAAATCATTATTATAATGGGTTTGCAAGAATTTTTATATTTTGTTACATAATTTATATGGGGCTTTTACAATAATTAATCATAATTGAAAAAAAAATAATGGAAAAGTGTTACTATAAAAATTTAAAATCGTAATTAACAATGTTCTATTAAAAAAAAATAGCTTTTCTGAATTTAATGTTATAGTGTAAATAAATATCCATCATTATGACCATAAAGAATGGCTCAAACCACCATGATCTTAAATGCTATTGCAAAAAGGTCCTGCATTTTTCTTATTTTAGCTCCTGTGTAAAATTTTATATTTTCGTTTAGAAACGGTTTGTCTTTAAAGGTGCGATATATTAAATGTTGATTTGTATATATCAAATTAATAAAAACATTACATTTATAATAAAGAACACTTCAGGTTATACTTTAAGATGTTACATTTAATATTACAAGAGAAATAATTTTGTTTGCATAGGCAGGCATCTACCCAATTATATATTGGTCATCTACATTTTTATGTCATGTAGGAATCGAACATACAACAGACGAGGACGACTATAACCATTGAGCCAACGCCGCAGTCACATATTGTGTTATGAAATATGTATTTTAAGAACATAACAATCACCGATCTTTTATTCTCAATGTGCTTAATTTAAGTACTCGGTCCTTAAACATCTTCAAGTTCCCTTTGTCATTTAATATCGTGATAGAATTTAAAAGTATAAATAACACGGTAACGCTTTTGTAACGATGTGACAATTTGCTTGACTTATTTTTGCTTTGTTGCAAAAAAATAAAATGTAAAAGTTATGAATAAATTTATTTCTTATTTTTGAGCGAACGATCAAATTGAATGGAAAATTGACGTGACATTTAATAAAAGATGACGAAGAAATAAATAAAAATTTAAACTTTATTCATTTGTTGTGATTAAGTACTGATTTCATTAAATATTGAATTATTAACGTACAGCCAGGTATTGTGGCTATCAAGCTTATCTTTAGATAAACTGACTGTGATTGTGGCCACGGCAACCTGGTCAAAATCTACGTGTCAGTCAATTTAAGGGTATTTAATACCTTCTACGTGATCATGTTAATATCTGTAAATATACACAATTAAATATCACAAACGTACACACAAATTAGTTCAAAAGAAGTTAATTTTGTATTTCGTCGTGCGGGTGTTTTTGACGATTTTCGCACTTGACTACTCGTTCATACATTCATACATTAATGATACAAATAAATTAACTACAAATATTTATGCAAAAATATTTTATCATTTTAACGGTTTCAACTAAATTTCATTTTTAAAACCACCCAACCTAAATCAAATTTCAAGAAAGCCGACATTTCGAAGTACTATTCGAGTTTGCTGGAATGGTTTAACTTCAGCTTTCTCGCCACTCTGCCCGGGTAACGTGACACGGTTTCTCCGGATAGCAGGAAATGTCTAGAATGAACATATTTTAATACAGATTTTAGTTCCCTTTCTGTTATTTCTTTGAAATTATTTTTTGTTAAACATCTTTTTCTGCAGCCCTTTTTTATTTTATGTATGTAAAATTTACTAACAGCCTTCAAATTATATAATATTTTAAAAGAAATCCCTCTGTCCACTAACATCCATTGAAAAGATCTATGTCTGCATTGTGTGGTTCACAGTGTATGCAGGTATTGTTCGATGTCTGTTAGCCACTCAATATAAGCGCCACTCAGTTCACGATCCGAGCATCAGAACCCACTAGAGATACTGGTCAGGGTTTATTTTGTATTCTCGATTGAACCATCAATAACAATAATAGTTACCTATCAACTTCGATATTAGTTTCACATTACGAATGTTTTAATTGCAAAAGAGTTATTAAGTTTATGGGGTTTTACTCATGTGTGTGCTTTGTGAAAACCCGAGTAGTTGCAAACCTGACGGAGGACATTATTAAAGTGTAAAGCAACCTTCCGCGTCAGTGTCAAGCGATCAATAATAATAACTTCAAACATTTCACACACGGTCATCTGTAGCCTGTGGGTACTATGGGAATCAAACTGCTGATAAATATACTTCACCATCATCATCAACAGCCTTTACTAGTCCACTGCTGGACATAGGCCTCTCCTTAGAAAGGAGGTTTTGGCCTACTACACCACGCTAGCCAGACGGGTTGGTATAGGGTTTGTGTCAAGTTTTCCTTCTCTATGCAGTGCTGTTGTCCTGCGTAGTTTGCTCCCTTAGTCGCCTTTTACGACACCAACGGGATGAATAGGGATGGTGAAACTCTGTATTCTTAATCCGTCACCACACGGACATACTTACATATTTCTTAACAACACCGAGACATATAAAAAATTCTTTGTCATGGGTGAGAATCGAAACCACTACCTCTTTCTCAGCGGTAAGGGTGACTAAGACTAACAGGCCAGCGCCAATGAGTTAGTAAAAAGCTTTATCATTTATAAATGTAGATACCACTTACGTAAGTGTTTCTACTTATAAATAAATCCATAAATATTTCTTAGTTAACTTTTCATCGACAACGAATACTTATATGCGTTGTATATTACTTTGTTATTAGGTGAGTTGTGAATAGATGCAGACTGGTTTCAGGTATTAGTCTGAAAAGTACCAAAACTGTCGTATAAATTGAGTAGACGTTTACGAAATATATCAATAGCAAAGGTAATATTCTTTTGGCTCAAATTGTTATTAGTAAAGTTTATGCTTTATGTGTAGCTCGATATTTTCAATTGAATAACTTGCTAACGTTGTTTTGTTAGGTATAAGGTAATGTACATATCAGTAACTGTTATTAATTGGATTTGTTTAAAAAATACCTAACCTTTTAAAAATATGCCTCGGTGGTGCAGTGGTAGCGTTTGCGACTGCTATGCTGAGGTCTCGGGTTCGATTCCCAGGTCGAAACAAATGTTTGTCTGATTTGCAAATATTTGTTCCGGAGTTTGGGTATTTTCTATGTATAATATGTATGTATTAACAAAAAAATATAACGTATATAAGTATTCCATCAGTCAATCTAGCTTTCATAGTACAAGCTTTGCTTAGTTTGA